TTAAAGTCCCTGTGACCACCCTATTTAGCATTTCCGCTCCGACATTGATCCCAGATCGGTTCAGGCAGAGACCATCGGAATGGTACCAATTCTTCTTTTCCTAATACTGACGCCAGTGCCCCATGAAATGGAACTCCTCTTTTAGCCATGTGGTCACCTACCTGATTTTCTTATGTCTATGCCTATTTGCCAATGGCTCAGGTGATATTCCAGAGATTACAATACTTGAAGTCCCGTTCTTTAATTTTGTTCCTAATTCCTGAGATTCCCCAAATAGGACCTCTTTGCTAGGTTTTTGGACCCAACATGGACCGCAACAACTGGATCCTCCTCTCAAAAATATCCTTTCAAACCAGTTAATGATGTCCCTTACCTTGGCACCACACAGGCAACAGACCATTCTACACTCTCTAATCATGCTTACAAAAGGATGTTATCTGTATCCCTAATCATGGAATCCCCTACCACAACCAGTTTTCTTTTCTCTTCCCCCGAGACTGGCCTCCTGTACTACAGTGTAGCGGTCAGTTTGCCCATCCTCCCTCAAATCCTTTTCCACAACCACACAGGGAGCAAATTTGGCTGCGGGTGAGGGACAGGTGACAATAAGTGAGGAAGGTAGAGGGACCCTGAATTTAGCAGTGCAGGAACCTCAGTTCTTGACCTAGTCCAACAGGTATGAGGTACTTTCTTGTACTCATTCATGGGATGAGGGATCTCTGGCTGGCCAGTATTTATTACCCTAACCTAGTTGCCCTTGAGAAGGTGGTGGTGAACTGCCTCTTGAACCACAGCAGTCCAATGTGCTGTAGGTAAACCCACAATGCCCTTCGGTTCACCACTACCTTCTCTAGGTCAACTAGGGACAGGCAATAAATGCTGGCTAGCCCAGTAACACCCAAATCCCACAAGTGAATGAGAAAAAAGTACCAAGATCTGAGGCTCCTCCAATGCTAAATTCAGAACTCCTCGACCTGCCTCACTTGCAGGCACATCCTCCTGTCCCTGATCACTGGCCAAATTTGAAGCACTTACCTACCGAGTGTGACTACCTCCTGAAATACAGCATCCAGGTAATTATCCCCCTCCCTGATGTGCCACAGTGTTCGAGGCTCACGTTCCAGCTCATCAACTCTGAGCGGATATCCTCAAGCAACCAACGCTTGTTGCAGATGTGGTCACTGTCAACCACAATGGGGTTTACCAGCTCCCACGTCATGCAGGTACAACACATCACCTGGCCCTGCATCTCTAAGTTATTTTATTAGTTTTTATTATATATTTAAATTTCCTACCAGCCTTTAATTTTTTTTAAATCTAAAATATTTCTTGAATTTACCTTTAATCCAAAAGCAATTTAAAGTAAGTATTGAAATTAGTAGTCATTTACAGTAACTTGCAGCTTTTCCCATAACGTCACATTTTCCCCCCTTCTGATCCCTAAGTCTCCTCCCTCACTGGCCTCCTCTCTCTCTCTCTCTCTCTCTCTCTCTCAGGGCTCCTCCAAGTAAATGAGTAGGCCTGGAGCCTCAACCTCAATTTTTATTTATTGTTCAGTCCCAGTGTCTGCCCCAGCTGGCTCCTGTTTCCCCTGAGTTCCAAATTCGCTAATACGTTACTTGGACATTAAAGAGAAAAAGTACTCAGCAATGATTGAAAAGGATGGACTGATCACCTCCTCCTTTTTTCACCCAACCCCATGTTTCACCAAACTCAAATTACACTCTATTGCAATGAAGCAGCATTCCAGAACAGGGAAGGGACCACAGAAGGACCCCTCCATTCATGGCCCCTAGTTCAAAGACTTCTGGAACTGAATTAAACCAGTTGTCTAATTAACTAGCTTCAGCTGAGCACAGTACCTGTAAATTCTTATTTTAAAGCTGCACCCAAACAAAACAGCAACTTTTGGTTAATTGCCAATTTAAAGAACAGACTAGACTTTAGATTGAAATTAGCCCTTACATTAAATAATTCAACATGATACAAATGTATCAATAAAAATCTTTTGCATTGTTTGAAACACAAATACCCAGCAGGTGTGGCAAGAAAGCAGATTTGCAGCATCCATGGTATTTTGCTTTTGTATTCAGCACAAAAACGAATTTTTAAAAAATAATAATTTATTTTTATATAATTCTAAAAAGACAGTCGTTTATTTCATGCATTTCTTACATCTGCACAAGTTTTCCATCCCTTTGTTCCTGCATTGGAAGCGCTTTACCGATCATTTATCCCTTATACAGATTGTATTTTAAAACAGCATTTAAGCCACATTTCAAAAGTAAAAATTTTAGAACTAAAATTTCTCCTCACGTTCTGAAACCATGAATTGTTTCATTTTGTCTAGATTGAAGCCTGCAATCTTTTTTCCCTTTTAAAGATAATAGAAAAGCAAATCAAGCAAAATTGTACAAATCACAAAGCAACAGGGACTCATTCAAGTCCAAAAAGCAGTTTGATTAGTTTCAGTTATCTGATACAGTGATCAAGGAAGGGGAATAAAAACAAAAATCCAGACAGAGAGCCATGAATAAGACCTCATGAACAAAAAGAACACAATGTCTGGTATTCAAAAATGGATAAAAATCTACATCCACTCAAGCTATCCCCTCCACCTCACCCATCCCTTGACGATTTTCATCAATGTTTTAGGCACCACGGTGATATAAATTGCACTTTGCTTCAATGCATTAAATTTTAACTTCACTTAGCATTGATTTCTCTTTGACAATTAATCAAGTCAAAGCATTACTGTTTACTCTGGAAAATCGTGAATAGCCCTATTCAAAATGCCAGATTTGATTATTGTCCTCTGAATTGCAAATTCTCATTTCAACATCCATCCGTCCTTCAGCTGTATAATAGGAAGTAATGCACTTGTTCGATTTTGGATGGAAAATCATTCCGCTCTGTAAATAAATAATGCAGTTATTACACATAATATACAACTAGTACATCTTTAAAATAATCTGAAAAAAAAGTTTCACCATAATGACAGTGTTTAGCTTTGGTTATATTGATCAGGCCCATGGGACAATAAAGCTGGAATTAAGCATTTTTCCTGTCCTACCAACATCAATATGAAATTCTGCCAGTTAAGGGATAGCACAAAGTAAAACTCCATTTGTATACCTCAATAATCTGGGGACAGTATGGTGTTGATGTGTGATATGTATTAATATATCACGAAACACTGTCTTTTTCTATGCAAGGCCTTGGCCAGGCCACAGTTAGAATATGAATCTTGGAACAAATTCAGAAGAAAATAATGAGTTTAAATGGCTGAGGGGTGTCCTAACGAGGTATCTAAAGTGATGCAGATTTTCAATAGGTAGAGAAATCCGTTGCCCTGGTGGGGCGATCCAAAACAGGAGGGTTCAATCTTAAAATGAGAGCTACATTATTCAGGAGGGAAATCAGAAAACCCCTCTTTCTTTCCCCCCACATAAGGTAGTTAAGATATAGCAAGAACTGCAGCTGCTGGAGTCAGAGACAACACAGTGTAGAGGTGGATGAACACAGGAAGCCAGACAGCATCAGAGAAGCAGGTAAAATGACGTTTCGGGTCAGGATCCTTCTTCAGAAAAGACCTTTCCGGAGAAGGGTCCCAAACCGAAACATCAACTTACCTGTTCCTCAGATGCTGCCTGGCCTGCTGTGTTCCTCCAGCTCCACACTGTGTTGTCTCTGTAGTTAAGATATGACTCCTTATACAAGGTCATATACAAGGAGTCATTGTTTGATCAATTGAAATCTTCAAAACTACTCTTGATGTTGTTCAGAAAGCCCATTAAGAAATTCAGAGTAAAGGTGGGTAAATGGAGTGGTTACAAAGAAACCAAGTGTTAGGTGAGAAAGGGTGAACAGTCTTCCCCCTTTTTTAGCTTCTTCAGTTGATACAACAACATTTTAAGTTCTTTTTAGCAAGCTGCAATAACTCTCCTGATTAAGATGTAATTAATTGATTTTTATGGTAAGCAACTAAGGATTGAAAAGTTTTTGAGTTTGAAAGGAAGAGCTATTTTATTACCTCCAAACCCCACGAGAAATAAAAACATGCCAGAACAAGCATATGGCCTGCATGCAGTCATTTGGGCACATTCACACACTAGTACAAATTTTAAAAGAAATAGTGACTAGCACAAATGAAGATATAAAGAATATATTTAGTTCAGAATCCTTTGGGTATGCTCAACAATCAAGGTTTTAATCTGAGACTTAAGGTTGGTTAGTTGGTTTTTTTGGATGCAGTCAATAGTAATGAATTTTATAGTTATTTTTTAAAGGTCTTAGTGTTCTGATGCTTCTTTCTAATCAGTGCTGTCAACTGGCACTTTTCTGCTTGGAGGAAGAGAGAGTGAACTTTCACAGCCTGCGTTCAGTTCTGCATTCGGAATTCCATCTCTCTTGATCTGTCAAAAAAGCTTGTCAAAATATTAGCTGTTTGTATATTCCATGCCCATGGAGGTTATTGTTTGCAGCCTGGTAATTACAGCAGATGTACCAGCTCCAAAATGTGAAAATTCCTATATGATGTAAATCAAATAGGAGATGATGACCTTCTCATGTTTCCCATGGAGAGTGACGGACTGATTTAGATGCCATTGGAGAAAATGTTAATTTCAGCTGAGACTGTATTTGGTCTAATCTGTGTCAGTTTCATGAAACTTGGCCAACTTTTATGGATCAGACAATTCTTGAAGCCATTTTAACTTCGGCTTTCAGTCTATTTTTTAAAAAACTATTTCCATCCATGAAAGCCTCAGGTATTAAATGGGAAGATAGAATTGTAAGGCCAATAATCTGAACTATCTGTCATCAGAAATAATTCAACAGGTTTGTGGAGTTGAATGCCCTACTCGTGTTCTTGTATACCTAGCTTAATGTCACTGCAGAAGCTTAGGAAGCACAAATAGCAACAGCTTGAGATGATATAATTAACATACTCAAAATAGTAGAAGGATTAGACTCTGATTACATGGATAAGCCATTCAAAGTAAGTGGAACAGGAAGCATAGCATAAGGTATCTCAAAACAATGAAAAACAGCAAGCGATTCTTCTGATGACCTGACCAATATTTCTTTCTCAACCAATATTAAAAAGCCATCGTTTCCAATGCTATTTGAAAATACACAAGTCATTGCACTGCCACCAAGGTGAGAAGAGATATGTGGATCATGCGCAATATAAATACAAGTTTGTCTTTTCTTTCCCCTATCACCTCTACCCCCTCTATATTTTTGTACAATAATTTTGAAAGCATATATTATGTTTGTCCTGCATTTGGATGACATTCAAAGATTTTTTCAAAACATACTTAGCCAAGATTCACAAAAAGCCTTTCAAATTTAGTGGAGCGTCTTAACAGGGATATGCAGTTCTTTATTCAGTTTCATCTTGAAGTGGAGCATCCCAATTTTGGGTGGGAAATGAATGAAATTTAGACACAAGGTTTTCATTGATCAAATAATCTGGCATCAGATTGGCCACTTCTTCTAGCTCACAAAGCACGATAAACTGATTCAGTGAATCACTCTACAAATTAATGTATGCCACGATTGTGTTGTACGTTGAAGTGTGTTCATGTATGAAGTTGCTTTGTCCCCCAATTTCCAGGAATATTGCATTGTTCTAAGACCTTCTGGATGGAACTATATTATGAAATGCTCGAAGTGACTGCAAGAAAAACACTTCATCCCAGGATTTGTCTCTCTGTTAGGTAGTTCCGTCTTCAATCAGCCTCCACCTGAAATTCCTAAGATTCATGATGCCAGTCTTAAACCACATCCAATCCATTTCACATGATATCATAAAATAAGAACATAAGAACTAGGAGCAGGAGTAGGCCATCCGGCCCTTCGAGCCTGCTCCGCCATTCAATAAGATCATGGCTGATCTTTTCGTGGACTCAGATCCACTTACCCGTGTTCTCACCGTATCCCTTAATTCCTTTATTGTTCAAAAAAAATCTACCTTATCTTTAAAAACGTTTACTGAAGTAGCGTCAACTACTCCACTGGGCAAGGAATTCCACAGATGGCTGAAGGCACTGGATCAACCAAAACACTGGGACCTGACAACATCCTTACTAGTGTACTGAAGACAATTTCTTCTTCACAGGTAACCATGCACATTGCCAAACTTTTCCAACACAGCTACAACACTAGTAGCTATATTATGTTGTGAGAAATGGCCCAGACAGGTCCTGTCCGCAAAAAGCAGGATAAACCAATTACAGCAATTACCATTCCATTAGTCTACTCTCACTCAACAGCAAGATGAGGAATATATCATTGTCAGTGCTATCAAGTGACACTTCCAACTGTGACCATCTGGAAAATTACCCAGGTATGTCCCATACTCAAAAAGCAGGACAAGTCCAACCGGGCCAATTATTACCAGTAGTGATGGATGGTGTCCTCAACAGTGCTATCAAGCAGCATTTGCTGAGCAATAATCTTTTGACTGACACTCAGTTTGGGTTCCAACAGGGCCACTGACCTCATTATAGCTTTGGTTGAAACATGGACAAAAGAGCTGAATTCCAGAGATGTTGTTAAAGTGACTGTCTTTTCTATCAAGGCTACATTTAACCATGTGTGGTACCAAGGAGCCCTAGCAAAACTGGAATCATTGGGTATCATGGGGAAAACTTTCCGGTGGTTGGAGTCATATATGACACATAGGAAGATGGTAATGATTCTTGGAGGTCAGTCATTTCAGCTCCAGGACATCTCTGCAGGAGTTTCTCAGGATAGTGTCCTAGGCCCAACCATCTTAAGCTGCTTCATCAATGATCTTCGCTCCATCATAAGGCCAGAACTGGGGATATTCACTGATGACTATACAATGTTAAGCAGTATTTGTGACTCCTCAGATACTGAAATAGTCAATGTCCAAAAGCAGCAAGAGCTAGATAATAACCAGGTTTGGTCTGACAAGTGGAAAGTAACATACGTGCTGTGCAAGTGCCAGGCAATGATCATCTCTAACAAGAGATAATCTAACCATTGCCCCTTGACTTTCAATAGTATCACTAATCACTCAATCCCCATAATTAACATCAAGTATTTTACCACTGAGCAGAAACTCAATAGGACTAACCATGTAAGTAGTGGCTATAAAAGCATATCAGAGGCGAGGAATACTGCGGCAAGTAACTCGTCTCCTTATTTCCCAACACCTATCCACAATCTACAGAGCACAAGTCAGGATTGTGGTGGAATACTTTCCATTTTCCTGGATGAGTGCAGCTCCAACAAGACATAAGCCTGACACCATGCAGGGAAAAGCTGTCTCCTTGATTGACACGACATCCACAAACATCAGACGCTCCACGACTGACACTCAGTAGCAGCACAGTGGACTACCTACAAGAGGCACTGCAGAATTTCACCAACGCTCCTTGGATAGCACCTTCCAAACCCACAGACACTACCACCTGGAAGGTCAAGGGCAGCAGATACATGGGATCACCACCAGCTAGAAGATTCCATTCTAAGCCACTCAGCATCCAGATGTGGAAATATACCACCATTGCTACAGTATCACTGGTTTAAAGCCCTGGAACTTCCTCCCTCATGGCTTTCTGGGTGTAACTACACCAAACTGACTCCAGAAGTTAAAGAAGGCCGCTCATCATGACACCAGAACTGTATGTCAATGCCACAACTGATGAGCTGAACCTGTCACCATGCAAAGAACCTCAGACAGCTGCACATGTGCACAGCTTAGAGGGAATGTTGCTCACCACCTCTCATGAGCAACTAGGGATGGGCTATAAATGTTGGCCCAACCACAAACAGCTGAACATAGGTGCAGGAGCATTTCAGAGCAGTGTGCGGGGTCTAACCATCTTCAACTACTTCATCAAAGATTTGTCTTCCATTATAAGGTTTGAAGCTGAACTGACTGTCAATAATTGAACACAATGTTCAGTACTGTTTGCAATTTCTTAGATACCGTAGCAGTCTGCCAACTAGGAACAAAAACCACGAAACATCCCAGGCCTGTGTGATATATCCAACCAGTCCAAATGGCAAGCAATGACCATCTCTAAGAACAGAAGAGAAGAGAAATCAAAAAGTACCATTAACATTCAATAGCTTTATCATCGTGAAATTCACCAACGTCAACATCTCAGGGATTCCCATTGACCAGAACTTTAACTGGATCAGCCATGTTAAACGACCAGGTTAGAGGCTGAGAAATCTGGGACTGGTAACTCACCTTTTAACTCCCCAAAACTCATCAAACACATTCAAGATGCAAGTCAGGAGCATATTGGAATACTCTCCACTTGCCTGAATGAGTGCAGCTTCAATGACACTATAGAAGCTCAACACCATCCAGGACAAAGCAACCCACTTAACTGACATCCATTAACCACCTTAAACATTCATTCACCTGTGCACAGTGGCAGAAATTTGTACCAACCAGAAGATGCACAACAGTAAACTAGTCAAGCCTCATTTGGAGGACCTACAAACTGCCATCACTACTACCTAGAAGAACAAGGACAGCAACTGTACAGGGACACCACCACATGAAAGTTCCCCTCCAAGTCCCATAGCATCTTAACTTGGAACGATATAACCATATCACCAGTGTTGCTGGGTCAAACTTCTGGGTCTTTCTACCCAACGGCACTATAGATACACCCACACATGGACTTCAGCAGTTCACAGAAGTGATTTACCACATGCTTCTCAGGAGCAAATAGGGGATGGGACGATAAACGCTGGTCTGAACAGCAAAGCTCACAATCCATGAACAAACTGATAAAAATTTAAAAAACAAATGTGCTCTCTCCTACATATGTGCACATGTTCAGAAATCTGCGCTCTTTCATCCAAACTGACAATGGGGACCATAATGAACTGAAAATACAAATGATAACACTGACATATACAGATACATTGATTAAAGAAATATTAGAGAAATGGGTACATGATTTTCCTTTTTTTTAATATATAGTTACGTTTTAGTTACTCACCTGCTGAAATTCCCATGTAATCGACTCTGGTACAGGGGAGCCATCTAATGGGCAATATTTCATTCCAATGGAATTCTTTCCATCATTCACTTCTGCACACAGTTCAGTCACAGAATTAAATCGAATTTCCCCTTTGGATGTATATTCAAAATACTGTTTTTAAATAAGAAAATATTATGTATCAAACGTGTCCTGAAAGTAGTAAAATCTATTGCTTTATTAAAATAACATTCACCAGAAATCTTTTATATTAACCATTAGAATTATTAAAAATGTAACACTGAAATTGTAGTACTGTATCTGATCAAGGCTCTTAACATTTAGACTTAACTTTGGTTTACTGTGGAATGGTCATGCATCATTCTGCAATGAATAATATCACCATGTAAAACAGACATGACTATTTCACAATGTTCAGTTAATCTCCTATAACTTTGTTGGAACATGGCATATTTAAAGAGTGATTTGAAGAGCAGCCAGTCAAGTTTCCAATGTGGACATTTAAAAGGGAGCTTGACAAGGTTCCGAAACAGTTCCTTAAAAGCGACCAACTTTACATTTGAAAGATAGCTACTAAATGATGCTTTCCTGTCACAGTGACCTAAAAATTAGTTTGAAGTTCTCCCTCTTTTATACTTGATGTAGTGTTGAGCAATCAGATAGAATTAATTAATGATCTCAGGGAAGGTGCCCCATAACTAACAGCAACCACACTATGACTGAACTTTATGTACATCATGGGAGCCATTATGAGGGCATGAAAGCAGAATGAATGGCAAATTAGGTTAAAAGAAAGCTCCAGTAATTTTAGGAGATATTTCAGAATACCTAGGACATGTTCCAGAAAATAAGAAATTCCAATGAACAAACCAACCAGACAGGTTAAAGATTACATTATAGAAAAGTTCATTGTGCAAAGACTGATGTAAGAAGTTTGGACAGAATATTTTAAAAAAGCAAATTACTTACACAATAATAGGGATGGAAAAATTACCGCATAAAAGAAAGCCAACAAAAAAAATTACAAATAGTAAGAATTTCTACATATATTTAAAAAGAGTTAGCAAGGTCACATTTTTCATACTATGAAAGTGAGTTCAGAAAACTGATATTGGAAAAATGAAGAGATGCCAGATGCAATGAACAGATATTTTGTATCAGCCTTCACCATAAACGATACAACAACATCCCAGAGGAATATTATCTAAATTGAGAGACATTGCAGAGTTCTGCATTGCAAATGATCAGATGTCTTCTTGAACAAATCTCAAAAGGCTAAGATGCAGGTGCATCAAGTAATTTGGAAAGCTAATAGAATGGTATAATTTATTGCAAAGGAAATGGAAGACAAAAGTAGGAAAGTTATGTTTCAGTTATACAGGCACTGGTGAGATTACTTCTGGAGTACTGCGTAAAGCATTGATCACCTGATCTAAGGAAGGACGTAAATGCATTGGCAACAGTTCAGAGAAGGTTTACCAGACCAATAATAATGGCAGGTTATCTTCTGAGGAAAGGTTGAACAGGCTAGGTTTGTATCTATTGGAGTTTAGAACACTAAGAGGAGACTGGAATGAAACAAAGATCCTAAGTGGTCTCAGAGATAGTAGGAACTGCAGATGCTGGAGAATCCGAGACAACAAGGTG